CGTGGGGGGAGAAGAGAGGCGGCGGGGCTGCGAGGGGGCCGCGCGGGGCGAGGAGTCCGGCGTCCCCGGGCGGCGGCGGCGGGCGGCGCGGCGCATACCTGTCATGGTGCTGCCGGGGGCGCGGGCAGCTGCCGCAGCCGCAGCCGCAGGTTGGTGGCTCGGAGAAGCCGGGCGCTGGGAGCAAGCGCGGCCGGCGAGGAGGCGCGGCGGGCGCGGAGCGTCCGTCCTGAGCGCTCTTATAGCGGTCGTCACGTGGCCGCGCACGCTCCCCGCGCCCGCCGGCATCCTCCCCGGGAGGCGGCCCCGGGACTGCGGGACCTGGGACCTCACTCAGCCCTTGCACCCCTAGGGCTGGGCTCCGGGTCCATTTCCGCAGACCCTCTGGTCCTGCTTCTGCTCGCGCGGGGCACCTGCATGGACCGCGGGCCTCCGTGCACCCCCGAACCGGGGGTTTGGAGGGGGACTTTGGGGCAGAGTGTGGCATCACTGGGACAAACTCCCAAAGAAGACAAGGGTTAGGGAACCTTCCAAAAAACCCCAGATCACTCTAGTTAGAATAATTCATTTGAACTGCTTGAATTAAACATAAAGTTTAATTCCACTTTCTTCACCTAGAATTCCAAATCAGCCTCTGGAAGCATTTCTTAGTGTTCTCACAACGGTTTTGTGGCCTTAACCAAAAAAAAGAATAAATCTTCAGTATGTTAGATTCTCGAAGTCCTCTGCATCAGTTAGATATTTAAGTGTTTTCATTTAATTCTCACATTAACTCAATGAAGTAGGTTCTGTAATCCTCATTTTACAGATGGGGAAACTGAGGCACAGAAAAGTTAAGTTACTTGTCAATGGTCATATCATGTAATTGGAGAAGATGGATTTGAACCATGGCAGTTTCCTTACAGAATTGAGCTTCTTCGTGCAAGGCCATGAAACCTCTGGTACACTGGTGCCCTAAAAGGTTAGTAAATTATGGTAACTGTGGTTGGGTAATACAGTTGTTTAGGGTAATGTGTTTCACAAATCATGAAAAGGTGAATTTGGCATTTTTCTAGGAAGTTGAGAAATAGCTCTCTGATGTGATCACACCCTTCTCTCCCCATCTCTTCTATCCAGCCCAAACACACCAGGAAAGCAGCAGCTAGTACAATTCTCTGCAAACAGTAGTTGCTCAGTAAATGCTGAATGGAAGCCAAACAGGAAGTTGACAGCATCAGTTGAAATAATGAAATAGATGCTTTAGAATAAGTGATTTATTTCTAAAGGTGGTATTGCTATTCTCAAACCATTTATATCACTGTTTCTTCAAGTGGACCTGGACCTCCTAACATTAGAATCACTTGGGGCACTTGTTAAAAATGAAAATTTTTGGTCCTAAGCCCAGACCCCTGAATCAGATTCTTAATGGTAGAACCCAAGAATCAGCATTTTAAATGTCACCCTCTGGGAGACTCTCTTGAATACTTTCCCCCTTCCTGATTATGGCAATGGAGACCATTGATTCACTTGGGAAGACCGCCTGGTTACTTGGCATTATAAACTTCCTTTGCAGGAAGTGGAAATGTGGGGCAAAGTTGCAGTGGATGGTTTTCCACTTATTCAAGGCCTATAGGCTTAGAAGAGTTGGAGCTCTTTAAGGACTGTGAAGGCTATAGTTGAATCGCACCTGTCTGGGGAGAGGGAAAACAGAGTGTTGCTTCCAGGTCTGAATTGCTTTTTCCATACTGATAAGTGGACATGAAAGAGTGAGGTTTCCATCTTTCACCCAGGAACCCTCCAGCCATCAGTGGCCCTTAACCACCTGCTGCTTGAAGTCTAAGTATCCAGGCTGGCTTCTGCAGGGTGTGGTTCTGGGCCAAAGGGCAAAGCCTGGAGGAAGAGCTGGGGACAACTAGAACTGGCAAGCTTCCCTTAGGAACAAGCTCCTCTCTGCTCCACCCCACAGTGTGTTTCAGTAAAAGCGGTCACCACAGCCTCCTTCCCTGTGTTTCATGTATATTTACAGAAATGGAAAGTTTACAGCTTTTACCACATTGAGTCAAACAGGGACATTTCAAGGTTGCTACAATCTCCTCTTGTATGTTGTCTTAATTGGTATTACTGTTGGTGATGCACTGACGGGTTTTCCTGAGGCTGTTGCACATTGAGCTTCATAAGGTATGAGATCAAGGCCTCTCAAAATATAATGTGACCACGGATTGCCTGGGGATTTTATTAAAATGCAGATTCTGACTCAGTGGTTTGGGGTGAATCTTTCAGGTGATGCCCAGGCTGTGGACCAACTCTGAATAGCAAGGTATTCGAACATTCTGGATTATAAGGCTTTGCAGGTAGTAGATAGAGACTACCTGCAGTACTACCTCAATACATGTTGTACTGAGACAAATGTTGGAGATTTTCATGTGTTTATTTTCTCCTGTGAAATTTAAACTTGTAGAAGTTCTGATTCTTAAAGATTTAAGTTAAAAAAGAAAATCTGTATTCTACATGAGTACACAGAACTATTAGCCATTTAAAGCAATGCTAAATGCATAGATGCAGCATGGTTGGTCCAAATTAATTTTTAGTTGGCTTTGGAATGCATTATGTAATATTTTGGCAGGATACTTACCTTCCTAATTATGTTTTGTTTTACATAATGCCGGGATCGGTTTGCATTCCCTCAAGCACACACACTAATTGACGGTGGGAGCAACTGACCTGGAAATATATTCCAGAGGAGGGCAGCCTGCTGCCCTAAGACACAAACGGTTCCCACACACAGCCCATGAAGTAGTTATACCACATCTGGCCAGACACAGGAACTAACTAGTTAACTAGCTACTTAAAAATTTTCCCTTAATTGATAACAAACAAAAAATCCATACCTGGAATTGTTGCCAGTGACCAGAACCCTAATCATTTCTAATTGGATGCTTAGTTTCAAGAAACATTATCCTTGGAGGCCCAAAGCAGCCCATTCTTTACTTGAGAGCTGAAATCCCAAACTCCACAAGTTGCAAGGGCCTGGTGACTAGTTACATTGCTTTAAAAAAAATCTTTACTGAGATATAATTCACACACCATGAAATTCAGCCATTTAAGGTATACAATTAAATGGTTTTTAGTATATTGACAGATTTGTGTTAAATATCACCACAATCTAAGTTTAGAATATTTTCATCGCCCAAAAAGAAACCTATACCCACTTGCAATCACTCCTCGTTCTCTCCCTTTCCCTCAGCCTTCAGCCAACTACTAATCTTTCTGTCTCTATAGATTTGTCTACAGAGATTTGCCTGTATGTAGTCTTTTTTAACTGGCTTCTTTCACTTAGCAAAATGTTTTTATGATTCTTCAATGTTGTGGCATGTATCAGTATTTCATTCCTTTTCATTAAGGAATTTCATTGCCAAATAATATTTCATTATATGGATATATCACATTTTAGTTACCCATTTCATGGGTAAACATGTTGGTGAACATTTTGGTAGTTTCCACTTTTTAGCTATTATGAATAATGCTGCTATGAATATTTGTTTCCAGTTTTTTGTGTGAATATATATTTTTCTTTCTCCTGGATATATACCAAGAGTAGAATTGCTAGATCACATGGTAACGCTATGTTTAACATCTCAAGAACTGCCAGACTGTTTTCAAAGTGTAGATATCATTTTGCATTCCCACTAGTATGAGGGTTCTAATTTCTTCACCTCTTAACCAATACTTGTTATCATCTTTTTTATTATGGCTATTCTAATGGGTTTGGAGTGGTATCTCACTGTGGTTTTGACTTGCATCTCCTTAATGACTAGTGATGTTGAGCATTTTTCATGTGCTTATTGGCCATTTGAGTATCTTCTTTGGAGAAATGTCTATTCAAACCCTTTACCCATTTTTTTTTTTTTTTTTTTTTTTTTTTGCGTTACGCGGGCCTCTCACTTTGTGGCCTCTCCCATTGCGGAGCACAGGCTCCGGACGCGCAGGCTCAGCGGCCATGGCTCACGGGCCCAGCCGCTCCGCGGCATGTGGGATCTTCCCGGACCGGGGCACGAACCCGCGTCCCCTGCATCGGCAGGCGGACTCTCAACCACTGCGCCACCAGGGAAGCCCCCTTTACCCATTTTTTAACTGAGTTTATTTATTTATTTTTTACGGTATGCGGGCCTCTCACTGTTGTGGCCTCTCCCGTTGTGGAGTACAGGCTCCGGATGCACAGGCTCAGCGGCCATGGCTCACGGGCCCAGCCGCTCCGCAGCATGTGGAATCTTCCCGGACCGGGGCACGAACCTGCGTCCCCTGCATCGGCAGGCGGACTCTCAACCACTGCGCCACCAAGGAAGCCCGAGCTGATTTATTTTTGAGTTGTAAGAGTTCTTTATAAGGAGTTTGGGATTAACTTATACATACTACTATATGTAAAACAGGTAAACAACAAGGACCTACTGTATAGCTCAGGGAAATATACTCAATATCTTATAATAACGTAGAGTGGAAAAGAATCTGAAAAAGAGTACATGTATATATAAAACTGAATCACTTTGCTGTACACTGGAAACTAACACAACATTGTAAATTAACGATACTTCAATTTAAAAATCTGGAAAAAAAGAGTTCTTTATATATTCTGAATACATATATATCTCTTATCAGATATATATTCATGCATATTCAGATATATCATATGCATATGTATATGATTTGCAAATCTATCCTCCCATTCTGTGGGTTGACTTTTCTTGATAGTATATTTTGCAGCACGAAAGTTTTAAATTTCTACATAGTCAAATTTATTTATTTTTCTTTTTTGCTTGTGCTTTTGGTGTCATATCTAAGAAACCATTGCCTAACCCAAAATCATGAAGATTTGCCCCTAAGTTTTCTTCTAAGAGTTTTATAGCTTTAGTTCTTAAATTTAGGCCTGTAATCCATTTTGAGTTAATTTTTGTGCGTGGTGTGAAGTAGAGGTCCAGCTTCTTTATTTTTGGCTGCGTTGGGTCTTAGTTGTGGCATGCGGGCTCTTTGTTGTGGTGCATGGGCTTCTCTCTAGTTGTTGCGCACGGGCTTCTCTTCAGCTGTGGCACGCGGGCTCTGTAGTTGTGGCACATAGGCTCCATAGTGCGTGGGCTCTGTAGTTGCAGTGCAGGCTTAGTTGCCCTGTGGCATGTGGGATCTTAGTTCCCAAACCAGGGATTAAAC